CGTCTCAGTTTGTATTCGTTGATCTACGCAACAGTCAAAGTCGCCATCTTTGTTTATATGAGACCCATATATCTCGCGCATGCGTGGCGCGACGACTACCTCCGGCGACTACCCCCCTTTAAAGTTCATCCTAAACGTCAGTTCCACCTTAAATATGGCTTGTATTGTGAGAATGAAATTCTTTCTCATAACAAAAGCTATTAATACCTGGTAGTCACCATTCAAATACGTGTGGGTGTGTGTTGACCGCAGTTCAGTAAAACTTGGTGCTTAGGTGATCTGGAATAGCTTTTTATTGAAATCCGTGCATATTAAAGCGGGAGGGTCGTCACCTACGCATGCGTCAGATGGCCATAGCGTGTCATTGTTGCTCATAGATCATTTTTGGTAGTCACGTAGTTCGGCAGTGCTTCGCCGCCATTTTGGATTTTGAAAAACCCTTTCTGGGGATCCTGGTCTAAAAAGACTTTGGCGTGATTTTGACCACCATTTTTAATTTTCGAAAAACATTCAGGCATCAACCATTAGTACATGATTTTTTCAGTGATCTTTTTCAGATTTTGTATTAATCACATGGTTCGGCGGCCATCTTGGATTTTGTATTTAACATTGACCAGTTACTCATGATCTATTTGTCCAATGGACGTGATATTCAACATGCACAGTCTACCGTGTGAAAATCATGTTTCCAAAGTCACGTGGTTTGCATGTTGTATTAGTTGGGCATTACACAGACTACTCTAATCTCAAGCTTCTTTTCACTCAGCCGTTCAGAATAAGAAGATTGTTGAATGTTTTGTTGAATTTGTTTCAATGCATCATGGGAACCCCCTGTACAATATGCACTGTAATTTAAATGAACAAAACATAATATATTAAGATGGGGAGTTGCCATTCGATTTTTTCGCTTTTAATTGGAATTTCGTAGCTGGGCTGGGTGTCATGTGATCTAAGTAACATGCAACAAATGTATATTGAAATTATTGGACAAGAGATATAGGTGACCATGGTTACTAAAAAATAGTAAACGTAGACTGACATAACAGATGACAATATAAGGTCGAGTGACCTCATTAATATGCATATATCAAGCACTGTCGCTGAAAGGAACATGCAACCAGTACTATAACGATGGCATCGGACAAAAGGTATGACTAATAATGAGATGGCCATATATGATCATGTAACCTCATTACTATGCACAACTATAAAATCTCAGGACTGTGGATAGGATCATGTAACCAGTGATTATATTAGACAAGAGATATGACTGGTATATCAGATGACCATATATGGTCATGTTAACTCAATATTAAGCATGACTGGGATAGCTCAACGACATTTGATGATAAGGACATGCAACCAGTGACATAATGAAGTCATTGGACAAGAGATGAGAATAATATGTGGTTAATATAACAGAGTGATACATATGGTCATGTGATCTCGAACATACATAACTGAAAAATGTCGAGCACTGTGAATAATGTAGACATGCAAATGTTATAAGGAAGGCATTGGACCATATATGGTCATGTGATTACATTGATATGCATAAACAGTAATGCCTAAATAATATTGATGTTACATATATGTAACTAATGCTATAATAAAGATATTATCATATCAATATAGCATATAGTTATTAATTTTATTAATATACATAGCTTCAATCAGGTCTGCTTATTTATGCTGCCTTCAATGCCTTCTTTTTTAGCATTAAACAGCGTTACTTGATTTGCAGCTATATGTAAATAATGTTATTAATGATGAATAAGCTGAACTCTCAACCACATTTTTGTAACACTATTTAAGGTACATTTATGAAGAAATTGAAGCCATAAAAACTGAACTGGAATCCAAAACTATATACAGACCCAAGGTTGGTATTGTTCTAGCAGATGGGTTTGAAAGTCTAACCAGCATCATACGAAACCAAGAAACAGTCTCTTACGCTGATATCCCTACGTTCCCAATCAGTAAGAGTAAGTAAATCGCAAACCATCAAATTCTACTTCTACATTCTTTAATCGGACATTTTGTTCATGATGCAGAGTTGTACATATAAATTGGGGTGTAACAAAATCACGTGATCAATTGTGGGGTCTTAATTAAAATGTTGCAGTGACACCGCAATCAGATTTCGATCAAGAGTTAACTGGGAAGTTTGTGTTGAAGGGTAGATAGAAGTGTATTTTAAGCACATAAGCCATTCGTCATTTTGGATTTTGTATGCAGTTAACTAGAAAATACCTTCAATACATGGCATTTTACTTATTGCTTGTTTTCTCTGATATGAATACTGTTAAATATAGATAAATATAAACCTTCACTACTGCAGGTGTACAATATGGTGCTGATTGGTTGGATAATGCAATATCCTTGCATTTATGTACCAGGCCAGGACCCTGTTCGTCTTGAAGGAGTGTTTAATCAGACATAAATACATTCAGCTCTGACACATAATAAATGAAATCTGGCTGATTCTATTGTTCTGGTGGCTACACATTAGAAACATGTAAAACTACACAATTTCCCCTGTGAGGGCGCATTTTTATTAATTATACTAGTCTATATTATTTTCAACAATTGCCATTACCGCTTACTTTTGTTCTTCAAGAAGTATTTTTCACAGTCCTTTATTTTTAAATTATTTACTTGGCTATTCCCCAACATCACACACACCTTTGCTCCCCATTGCCTCAATGAGTAAATTGGATTTTAGAAAAGCACTTTATTACGTAATCAGATTTATAATTTCAAGAATGCTAAGATATGTTATTGTTTTATTGTTGTTGTTTTTTTTGTTTGTTTTTTATATTTTAATAGTCAATGATAGATAATACAGGCCAAAATACAGTAGAGCAGTAATGATTTTAAACTTCACGAAAATACAAAATTATCCCCATTTGTTTAATGTAAACAGATTTAAATCTTTATGGCATCTCACTACATTGTAGATTAATTTCACAAAAGATTTAAATTCTTCTTTTACAGACATAATCTCCAAGACACTTTTATTTTATTCAGTTATTGTATGCCCGTAACAAGTATATTAAATTAAAGTAATACTCCAGTGTTGTAGACACACAATAACAGTTATGATAATTTGTCCTACTCCTCTATATTTTGCAGGTCATGAATCACATTTGATATTTGGTGATATAGGTGGTAAAACCATAGTATGCAGCAAAGGAAATGTTACTCAGATGGAAGGATTCCCAGCATGGCAGGTATGGCTTTGGCTGGCTTTCTGCAACCCACATTGCACGTGTAATTGAGACATATAGTATATGTAGATTGAATGGATATTGTTTTACAGGTGGCTATACCGGTGAGAGTGATGTCATTTATGGGAGCAGAGACACTCATTATTATTAACAAAGTACAAAAACTGAATGATAAATACAAGGCAGGAGACATCGTGTTAATCAAGGATCATATTAATCTACCTGGATTAGCCGGTGATAGTCCATTAGTTGGCATAAATGACCCAAGGTATGTTTATTTTCAAAGTCATAAATGTTTCCATCATACAGACTGTAGGATTCAATTGCAGCCTTCATTCAATGCCACCTTTATACATATACAGTTAAAACTGTCATCGTCTAATAGATCACTCATTATGTTATTTCTCTTATTTAGACTTGGTCCCCGTTTCTTTGGAATATCTGGTGTATACGACAATTGCCTTCGTCGTCTGTGTCGCCACATTGGTTCTGAACTGGACATAGACTCCATAAAAGAAGGCATTTATGTCCAGGCGAGTGGACCGTCGTTTGAAAGCAATTCGGAATTCACGTTCTTGAAAATGGTTGGTGCTGATATGCTTGGTGAGTGTTGTCATTTGTACTATACCACTTACAATAATATAAACCCTGGGCTTACCACTCTGGCAATATAATAAGATGATATAAACCCCCACAATTTGAGGGAGTGAAACAAACAAGGATTGGTCGATTACATTCTGACCTCTACAGTAAAATAGAAATCTCTTAAACACTCTTTTATAATTATCCTACATTTTATGTTGCATTTTTTTCACATTTGTCATAATTCAACATTTCAGAAAAATATTTTCATGCAATACACTGGTCGAAGGTTTCTTTTATAAATACATGTATTTTGTTAGTTTTTGTGACTTTGATTTGAACGCATTAAACATAACCAACTTATTCATGATCTGATGATTATATGACAATATTTTGTAATCGTTGTGTATTTCCTCATAGGCATGAATATGCTTCCAGAAATTGTGATTGCAAAAGCTTGTGGGATGCGCGTCTGTGCCATCGCCTTAGTGACAGATGGACAAGAAAGTGGTCACCCGGGCAACCTGATCCTCGATCATGACGTTGACTTAGACAGTGTTGCTTTAAGGAGCGAGGGGGGTTTCCGATCGTTGTTGTCTCGTCTTGTCTCTAGGATCGACGAGGAAATTCCATGAACTCATCTAAAGGCTATGTTCTGTTTTATGCAAGGGCGCCCTCCTGAAATGTCTTATCGATTTTCTGCACATTTGAGAAAATAAAATATATAAAATATACAACTATTACAATCGATTGCAGTATCCCGAATTGCAGATGACTAGGTGCTACCATCGTCTGATGACCCATGGAGACTATATAATTATAGAAACCTCTGACTTTTTCTGTATTTAAGTAATTTTATATAGAATTCAAGTAATTGAAAATTTATTTGATAAAGTATATAATGATATGCATAGATGATCTACTGTACGTGCAATATCAGTGTTCACACACCCATTAGCATTAGGGGTAATTGAATAATATTAAACTATGATTATATCAATCCGCTACTAGCAGCCAGAAATTACACTGGCAACTAGCTCAAGAAGTTAAATACTTTCTTACGACAACTAAACACAATACCAGTATTTAAGATTGAACTTATTGAATGTAATGTGACGTCATAGCATAACTATGTGTTTGTTTGTTTGTTTGTTTAAGTATTACTCAATCAGCTTGGTGTCCAGCCTCGTTTCCAAATATGTTACGAGTTACTTCTAATACTGGAAAGTTATTTTTACTAACTAACTAACTGAATGAATTCAACAACTTGCGTTTACTGATTTCACCATTCTAAAAAAACAACACAAATCTGACGTAAATGCAGATATTGTGCAAACCACAACTTCAAACAGTGGCTGCTCTCGATTTAGGTAGTGACTGATGATAATTATTTATAAAAAGTTTCTAATTTTAGCCTAGTCAGCAATTAATTGACATTGATTGTTGGGAAACTAGAACAATTAGTGTACATTATACATTTGC